TCCCGAGATAGCCGTTGGCAGTTTCCAAAATGTTGGAATAGTCAACATTTTACCTTTGGTGACCTCTGGTGACCTGACCTTTGACCTGACCCAAGACAATGGCCGGGTGTTTTCGTCCTTATTTTGGACGTTCTTTCGATTGCCGCTTACCGCGTGTTGCTACGTGGCCCAGGAGCCGAGTTAGAAGGGGGGGGTGTTCAGACACCCCCCCCCCCCCCGGCCCGGCGCGGAATCTCAGAGCACCGGCCCGGCGCGGGTTAAGTGAAGGTGCCGCCCCTCGAATGTAGGTGCCGCCACCTCAAATGTAGGTGCCGCCACCTCAAATGTAGGTGCCGCCCCTTTAGGTAGGTGCCACCCCTTAAAATGTGGGTACTGCCCTCCATCGTGTAGGTGCCTTTCCCCAAAATGTAGATAGGTGCGCCCCCTCATGTGTGGGTGCCGCCTATAACATGTATGTGCCGCCCCCTCAAGTGTGGGTGCCGCCCGTAAAATGTAGGTGCCGCCCCCTAAAGTGTAAGTGCTGCCACCTCAAGTGTAAATGCCGCTCCCTAAAAGGCAAGTGTCGCCCCCTTGAATGTAGATGCCGCCCCCTCGAATGTAGATGCCGCCCCCTCGAATGTAGGTGCTGCCCCCTCAGGTGTATTTGACTCATAATGTATTTGAGCCCCCCCCCCCCTCTCCGCAGCTGGAGCCTCGAGGCATCCAAATCTGCAAGCATCTAACTTTTCTCGCAATGCTTGGATCATATCTCTAAAAATGTTTGATTTTGACCCCCAAAAATAAAAATTAAGATAATATCGTGTAAATGGCAAACTTCTTTCCAAAAAAAATTTCAATTAAAAAAACGGAAGATATGTTTATGACCCAAGGTCATCTATCGCGATACCAAATTTGAGATGGATAGATCCATCTTTGCCAAAGTTCTGGCCAAACATATTGCTCAAAACTGGTGTCAAATTTTTAAACTCATTTATTAGCTGTTGTAGACCACGTACCTAGCGTAAACTCTACCATTGGATTCCTCGTGATGAGTGCATCGAATTTATTTTTGCCTGTTTATGCAAAAAAAAATATCAGTTTTGAGATTTGACTGTTTTTCACCTGGACTTGACCTGACCTTCATCAAAACATAACCTGAACTAGCTCCAATGGTCGCCTAACCCACATCATTGAATTTGAAATGTAAAATTGACCTAACCCGCGCACCGACGGGGGTCTGCGCCAACTTCGCACCGACGGGGGGGGGACGGATGACCGCCCCCCCCTAAGATCTCGAGAACGAAGCAGGATAGCGACAAGCGGTAAACGGCACCGGATACGCACGTTCAAGATCTACAATTTTTACAAAGGTCATTTTCAGGTCAGGTCAAAGATGACGTCACAGGGGTCGAAAAAGTCAAAATGGCGGCGCTAGATATGGAGAGAGTTTTTCTCGAATAACTTTCGAAGTAGTCAAGATAGGAACAAACTAAGGGCATCATCGTGATCCTCTCGTCAATCCGCATCGAATGATATATATGTTGACCTCGGAAGGTCAAGGTCAAAGGTTGACCTCAGGTCACGTGACCTCGAGGTCATCATGTACATCATTCGATGCGTCTGAACACAATGAGACCATCCACGCGGCTGTATCTTGTTCCTGTACGGAGTTATTGGCCAAAAACCTTTGGTGACCTTTGATGACGTCACATGACCTCACAGCTGCCCAACAGCAAAACGGACCTCAAGGTAGTGAAGGTTGATCGTATATGAAGTCATGTATGGTAGGGGAGAGTGGGGAAAGATGCCCAGGGTTTTACTATGTCATATAATATTCGAAAAGGACGATCGGAAAGCAAAAACTTGGAGTTTCAACGGAAGCCGACATCATTTTTCTCCAAAAATATCACACTTTCGTGCCTGAAATATGATAACTTTTTTTGCTATTAAGCATTTTCCTGAAGAAGTCAAAGGGGGCATCTTACCCCACAGGGTGGGAAAGACGCCCCCTGGCGTTGGGGAAGATGCCCCCTGCGCTATAAGTGACATAAATGGGCACGTGAATCGCCTGAACGAATCAGTAGTCCCTTCGAGCCTGCAGTAGACACCAAACGTCATCGTAAGGGCCCTCAAAAGTGGTCGTAAGGGGCTTCAGAGGTCATCGTTAGGGCCATCATAGTCCAGCGCGGCCAAACAAGCCTCCGTGGTGGCGTTCGGAGACCACTGTGGGGCCCTTATAGGTCTTCATGATGCTTGAGGGCCCTCGAGCCCATCGTGGGGACCCCAGATGCCAGCGCGGCCCGTGGAGCCAACGTGGGAGCCCTCAAAGGATGTCGTGAGGGGCCCTGGAGCCAATAATGGGGCCCACCGAGGCCATCGTGAGGGCTCTCAGAGTCAGATGCCGCCCAAAAAGTCGCTGTGTGGGCCGAGAGACCGGCATGGGGAGCACCCGATCGTACCGTAAAACGGGGCTATAAGGGACATTGGGGTTATAGGGGACAAATTTCGGGAAAAAGTTTAGAGGGATCTTGGTAATACAGCGAACGAGAAACAAAAGAAAATAGATATATAATATGAAACACTGATGTGTGGACATGCATGCCACATCACCATTTCCAAGATGCTTGTTGTTGTTCTCATGCTATGAGCTTTTGAAAAAAGTGCCAAATTCGCAAGAAAATTGTATCCCCGAAAACTTTGTTTGTGGAAACACAACCACGGACTGTGGGACCTTCACAAAGGTATAGTCAATGACCACATGTATCCTGAGGATGCCCATGAAATTACATCCATGTACCCTCCTTGCCTCATCCTCATTTCCGCTTTTTTCTGTTTCAGGTAGATTTTGATGTCAAAACGGGGCTTTAAGGGACACCATCATTACCAGTCAAAGCGAGGAGTTAAAACAAGGAAAACATATTCGAAAGATGTAATCATGAAAGCTGTGGATGCAGTGAACAGAGGGATGTCTTTCAGGGTAGCTGAGCAGAAGTTTGGGATCCCAAAAAGTGTCACGTAGGCACAAGAAGGCAGCTGCTACCTGAAAACCGGGCCATCCCACATTCCTTGGAGAGGACAGAGGATGACCTGTGGTACCCCTTCTCAGACATTGTGAAAAAGATCCAAGAACCCAAATACCTCACCAGGGGAATCATGGAAATCAAGGAGCTCAAGGAATACAATGAGTGAGCTGATATCAAACACCTCCAGCTCCAAGGAGCTGCCAGAGACCCTCTGAAGTTTTCTGGTGGATGGTGTTCTGGAGTTCAGAATGGCAGGAGAATGCCTCGTTATCAAGTGGTTGTACTCATATCATTTGTGTTTTGATAATAACACATTATTAAGTTTCCATATTTGAGTTTCCTTCATGGTATTTGTGTTGAAAAGGGAAGTTACCTTTTCCGTCTTCCATTGGAAAATTTGATGGATGCCCATCCATTGTATGTGCATTTAAAAAACAAATATTTTGCACAGGAAAGCAGTTGACATTTTTAAAAACATAGTCTGTGTCCCTTAAAGCCCATTTGATGGTGCTACTAGAGTTTAAAAGGCCATAACAGTGCTCGTCCCTTATAACCCCGGTGCGGGGCTATAAGGGACAAGCGACAAAAATAAAAAAAAATCATACATCTATGATACCAATAAAATGCATATTACGCCAAAAGACAGACCTAGTCAAGACCTGAAAAGTGGCAAAGTTTGAAGCCTGTGTCAGCAATAACCTTTGAATGACAGGTTGTCAAAGTCAAAACCTGTCCCTTATAGCCCCGTTTTACGGTACTGGACTCTCAATAGTCCCAGACCGGCTTTTGTCTCTCATCACAAGCATGTAATAAATCATTTGACGGGCTGCTTAAAGGACAGCCTACGGATTTAGGGGGGCGTCTTTCCCCATCAGGGCAGGGGGCATCTTACCCCAAAGTACCGAATTGATATTAAATCAGTACAATTTGTTAGCCATAAAACCACACCCTGAAACAAACTGTTTGGGACACAGTACACGCATGTTAATGTATCACGACTATAGCAAGGGACGCAAAAATTATCTACCTTCTTTGATATTTACAATGTTTTGACACCAAAATATTTTTCGAAAGCAGCAAATAAAAAACATGCATTCACTAGCCAGCCGTTGCCCAGCTGAGCTTCGCAAATTTTTGTGCAGTTAACAAGGCAGGCTTCCGCTTTACGCTAAGAACATTAATTTCCAGATTCTATTCTTTGTTTCGCCGTTAGAGGGGGTGGGGCGTCTTTCCCACCCTGGGCATCTTACCCCACTCTCCCCTATATGGGGCCATTCCGACCCGTTTTAGTGGTAAAAATAGGGAGTTAATTTTTCCCCCATTGACTTATAATGGGGAGGTCGCGAAATTGACCTGACCTTAGGTCACCGATATCAAAATTCCGAGATATACAAATTGAAGCTACTAATGACCTAATAACATCCTGCGACTTTCAAAGGCCTCCGACATCTACTGTAGCTCTGGCACGGTGACAAAGTTGCAAAAAAGTGACTTGAGGTTGGGTCATTCAAAGTGACCTGGTGACCTGACCTTAAAAGATAGGAGGTTCAAACTTGCACACCATGTGTAAAATTGATGAGGGAATAGTCGTACCAAATTTCGATTGTGACCCCTAGTGACTGACCTCTGTGACCTGGCCTGGTATCAGTGACCTTATTTAGCAAGATGTGTATTAGACAAGCAGTGTAACGATGATTTCCGATAAAATGCCTTTTACTCGATTTTATAACACATTTCTTAGAAGGCCTGTAAACGGTTTACATACATACCTGTGGTTGGCTTTGTCCGGGAATAGTCCTACGGGCCGCGGGCTAACGGTGGCTATTTGGATAAAGGAGCTGTTTTGTCAGTGAGGTCGCTGTCGTGTCTCCGCTGCTATTCGGTCGGGCTGAAGCGGATGCTCGTCGCCGCGCCCGGAGCGGGCTGTCGGTACCCGTCACAGCTCTGTGGATGGGGTACGGACCGTGTGTCACGCCGTCGCTGCATCCGTGCCGACAGGCTATGCTGGTGCGGCCGGTGCAGTCGACCACGCTGCGCTAGGTGCCCGCGCAGCCGCGCCCGTCTGGCCACTGGGAGCGGCAGCCGGAGAGCGCCGGACGCGCCGCGCCGCGCCGCGCCGCGCCACTGTCAGCGGCGGTGAGTGGGACGGGCAGCAGCCGGCGCCGGCCAACTCGCTGGGCTGGCCGCAGCCGTCTGCAGTAGTGGTGCCAATCGCATGAAATCTCAATTCAAACTCCGATCCGATTCCAAGAACCTGCCAAATAAATTTCCAATTTTTGTCCGAAGCGGTGGCTATTCCGATCTTTTCCCAATGTTTAGCATTCTTCCTCCTTAATCATTTTATGGTCGACGCGACGCGTAGCGAGCCAATATTTCTTGTCAGCTTCTATTTTAGAGGATTATGCAATTTTGTCATATTGCGGGGGTCAAAAATGAATGATACTTATGATAGAATGTAGGTTAGTAGAGTTTACAAAATGTTAACCCGCGCCGGGCCGGAGGGGGGGTGTTTGAACACCCCCTCCCCCTGTGGTTTTTCGCAGATATCTCAAAAACGGCGGCGCTCCCGTTTTGGGCGCACCTGTTCGTGCATCTTTTTCGCACATGTTGTGAAAATTTCAGACCCAGGTCACCTTAGGTCAGGTCACCAGGTCACGCCAAGTGACCTCACCTCAGAAAAAAATAAGAATGCTCGTCATAGCTACACCAATTGATCGATTGCATTGAAACTTTCAGCGATTGATAAGAGCAACATTATCTATAAAATGTTTATCTCGGAATTTTGATATCGGTGACCTAAGGTCAGGTCAGTTTTGCGGCCTCTCCATTAGGTATAAGTCAATGGGAGAAAATTGAAAAGCGTCTGTTTTGCACGAACGCCATTCTAGACATTCTCAAACATCGAGATGTGGGTAAAATTGACACACTGAACCGGAAAATGGCAACTGTGACCCCTCGTTATGTCCCCGAGGTCATCTCAGGTCACTAACAGAATCTAACAGTTTTTCGCTAATAACTTCTGATAGAGGCGTGCTAGAGCGCTGAAAACGCCTTAGATGTGTTCTGCTCGACGTTGCGGATCGACTGATATGCAACATGACATTTTCCGGTCAGGTCATGACGTCATGACCTTGACCTGAGGTCAAATTTTCAAGTTGACCTTTCAAGGTCAAATTATAGTTCATTCGACGCGTCTCGACGAGAGGAACACGATGCCGGTAAAAGTAAGCTCGTACAAGGCTTGGGTCAAAAATTATTGCAGAAAAATTGTTTCCGAAAAAATTGCTATTTTTGCAGTTTTTGCCCCCTGCAGGCAAAACCGTTGAAGTTAGGTCAAATCTGAGAGAAGTACTCAGAAAGGGCGTTAATAGGGCTATCGAATGCACTTTTCCGCGGCGCTTTAGCTCTATTGGTTCCCGAGTTATGCGTTGGCTTCCTGGAAATTGTCGACATTCGACCTGAAAGTCGGCGAAATTTTGCCTTCAATGACCTCTGGTGACCTGACCTTTGACCTGACCAAAAAGTGACCGAAGTGATTTCGTCATTATTTTTGGCGCTCTTTCGAACGCCGCCTTCCGCGTATCGCTACGTGGCCCAGGAGCCGAGTTAGAAGGGGGGTGTTCAACCCCCCCAGCCGGGCGTCGAAATCCAGGACCCCCAGCCGGGCGCGGGTTAACCTGGTCACCAGAGGTCATTGAAGGCAAAATTTCGCCGATTTCCAGGTCGAATGTCGACAATTTCCTAGAAGCCAACGCATAACTCGGGAACCAATAGAGCTACAGCGCCGCGGAAAAGCGCATTCGATAGCCCTTTTAACGCCCTTTCTGAGTAATTTTCTCAGATTTGACCTAACGTCAACGGTTTTGCCTGCAGGGGGCAAAAACTGCACAAATAGCCGATTTTTTTCGGAAACAGTTTTTCTGCAATAACTTTTGACCCAAGCCTTGTACGAGCTTACTTTTACCGGCATCGTGTTCCTCTCGTCAAGACGCATCGAATGTATCATAACTTGACCTTGAAAGGTCAACTTGAAAATTTGACCTCAGGTCAAGGTCATGACCTGACCGGAAAGGGTCATGTTGCATATCAGTCGATCCGTATCGTCGAGCTGAACACATCTAAGGCGTTTTCATCGCTCTAGCATGCCTCTATCAAAAGTTATTTGCGAAAAACGGTTAGATACCATTCGTGACCTAAGATGACCTCAGGGCATAAACAGGGGTCACGGACACCATTTTCATGTTCAGTGTGTCTAAACCACCTGTAATTCAGTGTTTGGGAGTGTTTATAATGTATTTCGTCCAAAAGAGGCGCATTTCAATTTTCTCCCATTGACTTATAATGGGGAGGTCGCAAAATTGACCTGACCTTAGGTCATCGATATCAAAATTCTGATATATACATTTTGTACATGCTATTGCTCTTAGCAATCGCTGAAAGTTTCAAAGCGATCGGTCACTCGGTGTAGCTATGACAGACATTGAAACTTTTTATGAGGTGAGGTCACTTCAAGTGACCTGGTGGCCTGACCTTGAATGACCTTGGTCTGAAATTTTCACAACATGTGTAGAATTGATGTATGATAAGGTGTACCAAAAACGGCGGCGCGGACACAAGGGGGGTGTTCAAACACCCCCCCCCCCCCCGCAGGGCGCGGGTTAAAGCTCTTTCGCCAACTTCGCCTCAGATATGACTTCGGGTCTATGGCTTGTGTACCATAGAGGCCAAATAGCTAAACGGACGGAATTTGCCGAAACATTTGTTCTGTAACAACATATGATTCAGTGACTGTGTATGATATTCATGTTATCACCATCGTTTTTGTTTCGTCGAAACACGTCTCATGGCTTACAATTTGAGCTTGAAAACTTAACTAGAAAACTTGACATCAGGTAAAGGTCATGTCCTGACCGGAAAAGAACCTGCTGCATATGGATTAGTGATGTCAATTACGGAAAATCGGAATACCGATACCAAACCAAATACCAACCAAAACCGTGGAGAAATACCGAAACCAAACCAACTTGGGAACATGAGGAAAATACCAACCTTTTACCGATTTCTTAGCCTCTTAAACATTAGCGATGGTTCATGATACCAACAAAATACCAAACACATTAGGATTGAAATACCAAATACCGAGTTGGTATCGGTTTGGTATCGGTATACCAAAAAGTTGGTATCCGATTGAAATCTCTAATATGGATCGATCTATGTATTTTGCTAAGCTGAACGTGCTGTCATCGCTCTACAGCGTCTTTATTAAAAGTTGTTGTCGAAAATGTTCTAGAGACCTTTGATGACCTAATGACTGACCATTCGAGTCACCACTGGTCATTAGCTGCACTTTGTCTCTAAAATGAGCAAGGTGCCATGGCTACAAAAGTATCTAGCGTTTTTAGCATATTCTTTCAAAGCAGAAGGCACTCTTGCTTTTTCCCATATCTTATCATGATTGGTGAGGTCACATATTTGACCTGACTTCACTTCTCAGATGTAAAATCCCAGATTCATGAACTGTTGGCACTTATAATCCCATTCATTACACCAAATTTCAGACTTATAGGAAATAATCTATAGGAATGACAAGATTGCAGTTTTTAGAGGCATTAAAACTGTTGTGACCTGACCTCAGGTGACCTGTGCTTGATTTTTATGCACGATGCAAAGGTGCTGTACAATAAGATATACTGCTGCTTTCGTGGCGCTGCGCGCCGAGGATTTTCTCAACACACGAAAAAAACCGGGAGTGTGGCTAAAAACACCCCCACCCATCAAGACGAAGACCGGAAACCCGACCCCCCACTCAAAAAGCCGTGGCGACGCCCCTGTTTGTCTTCTATGACGATATCGTCCAAATTTTAAGACAAGTGTCCCAATTAACGTCTGTCACATATCCTACGTTTTTCTGCCATATTAGGAAATCATATTGGGCTCGACTTAGGTGAAAATGTAGTAAATATTTTTTTTGTTTTTTAGCTGCAGAAAAATGGGCATATGACAGGCTTGACAGAAGGGTGGGTAGAGTGTTGGATCAGTGGCCTACTGACTAGTCCAGGTCGCGTGCCACCGGGTAGGTGGGTAGAGTGTTGGATCAGTGGCCTACTGACGTCCAGGTCGCGTGCCACCGGGTGGGTGGGTAGAGTGTTGGATCAGTGGCCTACTGACTAGTCCAGGTCGCGTGCCACCGGGTCGGGCCGCTCGTTGGTTCCGTCAGTCGGCCGTCATCGATCGCGGCCGACTGACCCAGCCGGCGGCGGGCGGGATCCCGGGCGCCGGGCCACCGCACAATAGGCCGGCGGCCGCATTTAGCGCGACAAAAATCACTTTGGTGAGCTCCGACAACAACATACAACAACGATGCGTTTAAACTAAGAAATACTTGGGGCATTCAAAAATATCCAAATAAGCTTGCTAGCATAATGCCATCAACGCTAAAATAAGCGAAACTTTCGACAATGTTTACCATCCATCACGTGGTGGTCAATCTGCTATGCTCAATGCGCTGTGTTCGTTGCTTTATCAAACAGAAACTGCCCGACGGTTAGCCTATTTTCTGAAGTTTTACGATAAACAAGGACATGGTCAACGCAGAGGCAGGCATTTCACTTCCTACAACTCCTCTGCACAATATCTAACTATATGCATTTTTGTGAGACGCTACGAACAAGGCTTCAGAAAATCAAATTTGTATTTTCGAGGAACCCTTAGGTTATAATTTCCGTCGACTTCCGCGACGTAGTTCTTTGGTTTAGTTAAAACCAGTATAACGCCTTTTGGGGCGACTAACGGAGCGAGCGAGAGGGTGGGCCTTGTACGTGCAAAATTTCGAGGGGGTAGCTGCAACTGACTGGTGCACGGCACCTTACTAACCGGTCTCTAGCGATGTGCCAAATTTGAGCACAATCGGCCCAGCCGTTCTCGAGATCTGGAAGCGGCACCCTGCACGTCCGCACGTGCAAAATGGGTCCCAACTGACTTGTGCACGGCACCCTACTAACTGGGTCCCTAACCGTGTATCAAATTTGAGCGCCATCGGTCCAGCCGTTCTCGAGATCTGGAAACAACCCCTTCACGTGCGCACGTGCAGCAGTACCCCAACTCTGGCACATGGATATGCTGTGCCTAGTGGGTGCCTACCTACATGCCAACTTTCAGCGCAATCGGCCCAGTAGTTACCGAGATATTGCAACAATTACAAAACTGACACCTCTTCGTTTTGCACATAAGTGGTCACCCACATGCATCGGAAATAGTCCAATACTTGTTAGAAGGAATGAAGCTACCCTACAAAAATTACTTCGTGTAAATCGGTCAAGTGGTTGCTGAGATATAAGCCTCGCAAAAGCGTCCGCACGGCCGGCCATACTCAGAAATTTCCGTTAATCTAAGGAAAGACTGCGCTCGCTTCGCTCGCTCTGTAATGAGTGTTTATCTACAAGTTGCGATAAAATGTAGCTGCTAATACCCGCGATCTTCAGAATTATAGGTAACCATTTTTGTTTGACACGTATATACCCGTCCGCACCGAGGCACGAGGGCGGCCGGGCGCCTGGGCGATATGAGGCATGTCGCTGACCCCACACGTGGGCTTATTCCGGGTCGCTGATTGGCTCGTTGGTTGACATGTCACGTGACACAGCTGACAGTGTTGTTATCGGTTGCAATAAAATCGATTTTTCTTCAGCTGTAGATTGGTACGGACTGACTTAACTTGTCCCTCAACTCTCGCCCGTATAGGGGCGGGGTTGAACGGACCCCTCCTCCGCCTCGGTTTTTCGCGAATAACTCGCGTAAAAAGCGGTCGATCGCGACGAAACTTTCAATACCCTCACGTTAATCAATTTTACACCAACCCTGGAAATTTCATGACCCTGACTCTAACGACCTTTGACCTGTGACCTACTTTTCGAGACCATGTTTGGCTGGAATCGCGATTCGGCGTATGTCGGCTCGCATTAGCCGCGTGTTTGCAATCTTTTCGTTGCTTCAAGCGTTCAAACATGTGATATGATGTTGGTCCCATGCATTAGGGTGGGTGTTAAGGTCACCGGAAGGTCAGGTCAGCTCATTGACCTTTGATGACCTCGGTTCACTTTTTCGGGTTTTACATGTTTCTAAACTAGTTTTTTGGCTGAATTCGAATTTAACAACCATTTGAACATTAACTAAGTAGTTTTGGTACCTTTATAAAGGCTTGGCTACACTATGCGTTTTCTTCGTGCGTTTTTTGCGTGTTTGCGTGTTTTTCGTGATATCGTTCTAGAAAAAAGAACGATATTACGTTTTTTGTGATGTTTTTCACCTTAAATTTTAGTTTACAATAAGAGTTATATTAGCTTTTGTATGTAACCAAAGTAAAAAATATATTGTTTATAACTTTTTTCCTAGAACGATATTACGCAAAACACGCAAACCCGCAAAAACGCACGCAGAAAACGCATAGTGTAGCCAGGCCTTAACATGTTACGAAGCTGTCAGAGGCGGTTGCCATCTACTACGAATATCCGGCAAAAGCCTCACTGGTTGACCTGATCTGACCTGGCCCGACCTGGCCTAAAAAATCCAAAAATTTCAAAAATCCGAGACGGCAGTTTTGTAGCCCTGTTAAATCTGCACCTTTTATGTCTGACACATTTTTCTGTATCTCCAAAGCTTTTTTTGGGTCGAAAATGGCAAAAATGACATCACTCCGACGTCATTAGAGGCAAACCTATCATAGCCTTTGGAATTTTTTTGGTCACAATGTGCAATAGCTATTCACGGGAGGGTACTGAAAGTTTGGTGATGATCGGCGCAGCGGTTCGGGAGATATCGAAAAAAAACTAAAGGGGGGGGAATGGCCCGCTCCACCGCCTGGAAGGTTAAGGTCAATATTTGACCTACTTTTAGCAGATCAAAGCTAAATGTCTAATAATAATATAAGAATAACCAGTAACCTCATTATATAAATCAGAAATAGGAGCCAAAAAGTTATATTTAAAATTATCGAATATTTCGCTCCTGGAGCTTCGTCAGCGATAGTTACAGAAAAAACATATGATAAACATATGTTGACAAACATAAACATATGACAAACATAAACACAGAATAACATACCAGTATAATAAGGGGTCACCCACATGCATCGGGAATAGTCCAATACTTGGTAGAAGGAATGAAGCTACCCTGCAAAAATTACCGCGTGTAAATCGGTCAAGTGGTTGCTGAGATATAAGCCTCGCAAAAGCGTGACCACGGCCGGCCGGCCGGCCGGCCGCTCATACTCAGAAATTTCCGTTAATCTAAGGAAAGACTACGCTCGCTTCGCTCGCTCCGTAATGAAAAACATATGTTTTTCTGTAATTATCGCTGACGAAGCTCCAGGAGCGAAATATTCGATAATTTTAAATATAACTTTTTGACTCCTGTTTCTGATTTATATTATGAGGTTACTGCTTATTCTTATATTATTATTGTTCATCATGAGCCTCAAGCAGAGTTTCAGCTTTTTAAAAAGCTAAATGTCTGTCGAAATTGCAATCCGCTGTGAAAGCAATCCGCCCTGACCGCGACACCCGACCGCGCCGGACAAAAACTTCAATAGCGCTGGTCTGCCCTGTGCTAGCGCCCTTATTCTTTCAGGGTTTGGCTCAGAAATTATTAGGGAATGCTATGGTATGATGCACTAACGGGCACACACTGTGTAAACTGCTGTACATAGGTGAAACGAAAGCAAATATGTTTCACTAAAAAATTGTGATTGCAACAAGATGACAGATGATTAGATCAACGCCAAACCAAAAGAGATACGGCTTTTTGTGACCCGACATGAGAAGCAGCAGGCTTTGGGGATCATTACCATGTATAATTTTTCCAGTTCGTATGAAATGAACGCACACTAGCGGCGTTTGAACTTGCAAGTGCCTGACAGTAATTTTAACCCTCGCCCGTAAACGGCGATCTGCCACCTTCGCCCATGCAGGGGGGGGGGGTTGGTGCGACCCCCCCTTGGCGTTTGAAAACGGAGCGTCGTAGAGCTTAGCGGAAAAGACCAACGGATTGCTCTCGCCGAGATCTCGCGATTGGTGGTATATTTTTGGTCCTAGGTCAACATTTGACCTACTTTTGACCGGTCAAAGGTCAAATTTTCGGAAAAATAGACTTTTTCAACTTTCCGCGGCGATTGCGGCAAAACGGTGGGAGATATCGACTTGAAACCTTCACTATCGTGTTCCTTGATCAATTTTCTATCGTTTGGTATGTATTTCGTTTCCCTAGCTCTAAAAATGGCGCGTTGGGAGCGCCGGAAGTCGGCAAGGTCACAGTCGGCGGCAGAAATTCGAAAAATCAAAATTTAAATTTTTGAAATCTGATTGGATTTTTGGATTTGGAAGGTCCATTTGCTCCCTATAGAAGCTAATATTGCTGCATATTCCCATTGAGGTGACAAGAATTAGCAAAATAGTGGTTCGGGCGCTTTTCAAAAATAGTACCGGACGCTGTTCCTCTTGTGACGTCATAGCTCCGTGACCTGACCTGACCCGGTCAAGTTTCTTATACCATATGATAGCCAATACTTGCCCCAACATGCATGAGAAGTTTCATCACGATCCATCAACCGATGTCTGTACCACCGGCAGGAAACCTCGGGCGTTGGCACTCAGTTTGTGAAAATCCGGCCGGAGGCTGTTCCCTTTGTGACGTCATAACTCCGTGACCTGACATGACCCGGTCAATTTTTTTTTTATCAAAAGATGCGCAAGGTTTGCCCCATAAGGTACCCAAAATTTGGCGGCGCTGCGCGCCGCCGTTTTTGCACTATTTCCGAAAAACCTCAGGGGGGGGGGGGGGGTTGCACCAACCCCCCCCCCCCTACATGGGCGAGGGTTAAGACATAAAATGTCGCTACTTCTGACAACCATACACGAGGCTGGTTTTGACAAACATGAAAGCTATGTGATTTCAGATGCACCAGACATGTCTTTGATTAGCCATATCGCGATTTACTCGGTTTGGTTAACTTGACTTTTTGGTATTTATGGCCACTCGTGAACCCCATTTGCATCACTGTGGGCTGTCTCCGCGTGTCAGGCTTCGGTCAGTGCTACCAGTGGCTCTCAAACTTGTTCGCTCAACCGCGGCTGGGACCCACCCCTCAGGGTCGCGATACCTTCAAGAGAGACTATACCTGTCGGATGGCCGCTCTCCCTGTCAGAGTGCCGCTGTACCTGTTGAATATACTGCTAGCCCTGTCAGGCGGCCCCTGCCCCGACTGCCACAAGACTCGTGTTGACGCCGGCGCGAGGATATTGTCTGCTGGGCCGGTCGTTTTCCTCTCGGCGCCGTGTCGCTCGTCATTTGTCGGCTGGTTACCGGTATCAGCCGATGGTGTAGTCTGGACACTGGGCAGGCCTACATCCCCCTGCAGGCTGCACCTATGGCTGGCTGCGACGCCTGTCTGCGCCGGCCGTGTCCTGAGTGTCTCTGCTGATTCTGTTCCAGACCTGAATGACTGCCCGCTGCTGGCGGCTCTAGGGCGCCAGGCAGCATGATCAAGGAGCCGAAAGACAGTAAGAAAGAGAAGAAGGGCGGCGCGGCGGCGGCCGCCGCCCCTCCGGCGTCCGGGAAACGGGACTCGGCCGGGCCGGGAGCGGACGCCAGCCCGCTGAACGGCGCTGGCGGCGCGCCGGACGCCCCTCCGGCCGCCCCCGCCCCCGCCGCCGTGGACGACGAGCTGAAGGCTGAGGGAGCGGCGCCGGCAGCCGCCGATGGTGAGTACGCCGCCGATCCGGGCACCGGCCGCCGGCAGCGCCGTGTGTTTACCAGTGGCAGCGCTCGGCGTCGGTCAGAGAAGCCACCGGCTGGCCTGAATGGGCCGACGCTCCTACCTGCTCCCCCCCCCCCCCCCCCCCGAGACGGCCGGCCAGCGCGGCGGTGCGGCACCTGCCGAGAGCGGCCACACGGGCCACAGTCGCCTGCGGCCGGCGCGCCGCGGCGCCGCCACCGCCGGCCGCCGGCGCAGGCGACTGTGGCCCCTAGCGGCGGGCGGCCGCCGCCGACGGTGGCCGGCCGGGAACAAAGCGGCCGCCCGCCGCCGAGTGGCACTGCTACGTCAAACGGGCCGGCCGGCCGGCCGGCCGCGGCAGATAGTGGCGCCGCCCCGGCCTGCTCAGTGTGCGACTGGTGAGCGCCGGGAGACGGTCGAGAGCGGCGCTGAGCGGCCAGCCGGGCGGGCCGGGACGCGGCCGTGTGCGTGCGCGTGGCGGGGCCGAGAGACCCAGTGGTGAGCGCGGCGTCAGCGAGCGTGTGGGCCGTGCGCTGGCCGGCCGGGCTGAGGCGGCGGCAATGGCCGGCCGCGGCCGCGCACTGCCGCTCGGCCCATAGTGCAGACCATGAGCAGCGCGATGACGGTGGCCCATGACTCAGGTAGGTGCGCCACGCCGGGCGCCGCCGCCGAGCACTGAGCGCTCCACGCAACGGGAAAGTCGGGCGGGCGGGAGGGAGACTCAGAGATCGGCCCGTTCGCACCGAATCAGCCGATAATGAAGCTGGAAGTCGGTGGTTCGTGGGTGTCAGGATATAGGGAATAGAGCAGCAGCATTGCATCATTGCGGTGCCGACACGTGTATCTCATCCTCGGCACTCGATCGCAGAAGTAGGTCTTTGCGTGTCGATGTGTTGATCGTTCCACATGGCAGCATGTCAAGAACCAGGTCATTCCGAAGCCGACTCCGACCCGGTCGTTTCTCGGGAAGGTCCCGGTCGACCCGGTCGTTTGAGCGTCTGCACATATCGGAGGTGCAGTGGACGTCTGCTGAGCTCGCCGGGCAGTGGCCGGAGCCGGCGCCGTGCGGGCAGTGGCCGGAGCCGGCCGGCCGGGCCGCCGTGCGGGCAGTGGCCGGGCCGCCGAGCCGAGGCGCGCGGCGCCGGCTGCCAGCCGCGCGTCCAGCGGCCGGCCGGCCGGCGGCACCAGAGCTGTGTGCTCCGTTTGCCAAGGTCGGGCTGGGCCGGCGCGGACCACTGTGCCGCCCCGGCGCAGCTCTGGTGACGGTCACACGCGCAGGCGGCCGGCCCCCGTCGCACACAGCCCCTATCGGCCTTCAAAGTGGCCAATATCCGATGTTCCGAAATTTTCCAAACGTTTTTTCATTGCATTCCGTGTTATGAATTGCACAGGCCGCATGAAGCGTGATTATGAAATAAAAATATTTGCAATTTTGATATAGCTGGGAAAAATTTCAGAGTTAAACGTGCTGTCATGCTCCGTGGGTCTTAAATTTTGCTGGTGTTTCCTGTATGTTTGATGCAGTATTGCAATGCAATCCAGCCATCCAAGAAACATTGCACGAGATGTTTTCTGGGATGGTTTTCTTGTATAGCTTGATTTCATCTGGAGCTTCTGTTTCAAAGGAAATTTGTAAGCTTGGGTCATGGGTGTACTGTTAACCCGCGCCCTGATGGGGTCTGCCGAGCAACGCGGTCTGATAGGGGGGCATTTTGCCCCCCCCCCCCCTAAGATCTTGAAAACCACGCAACATAGCGACAAGCGGCAAACGGCGTTGGATAGCCCCAGTGGGAAACTACCTTGTGACCAAATTACATTGACCTAGGTCAAACCGATGACGTCACAGGTCAGGTCAAAGGTCGAATTTTCACCGTTTACAGGCATTTCAAGAAATGCGTTGTCAAATCGAGTAAAATGCATTTCATTGAAAATCATCGATGGGGAAATGTTCGCCAAACACATGTTTTGCTATTTGAGGTCATGTGCCTTGTGGTGTCTCGAATGCTTATTCTTTTGGTTCTGCGCCAACTTAGAACCGACGGGAGGGGGCGGATGACCGCCCCCCCCCCTGAGATCTCGAGAACGAAGCAAGCTAGCGACAAGCGGTAAACGGCATGGGGGTACGCATGGACAAGTTCTACAATTTTTACTGAGGCCATTTTCAGGTCAGGTCAAAGATGACGTCACAGGGGTCAAAAAAGTCAAAATGGCGGCGCTAGATATGAAGAGTTTTTCTCGAATAACGTTCGAATTAGTTAAGCTAGGAACAAACTAAGGGTATCATCATGATCCTCTCGTCAATCCGCATCGAATCATATACATATTGACCTCGAAAGGTCAAGGTCAAAGGTTAACCTCAGGTAACGTGACCTCGAGGTCATCATGTATATCATTCGATGCGCCTTGACGAGCTGGGCACCATGAGACCATCCGCGCGGATGTATCTCGTTCCTGTAAGGAGTTATTGGCAAAAACCGTTGGTGACCTTTGATGGCGTCACATGACCTTACAGCTGGCCAACAGCAAAACAGGCCTCAAGGTAGTGAAGGTTGATCGTATATGAAGTCATGTATGGTATATGGGGCCATTCTGACGCGTTTTAGTGAAAAAAAAAACAGGGAGTTGATTTCCTCCCCCCCCCCCCATTGTCTTATAATGGGGAGGTCGAGAAATTGACCTGACCTTACGTCATCGATATCAAAATTCCGAGATATGCAAATTGTAGTCACCAATGACCTAATAACATCCTGCGACTTTCAAAGGCCTACGTCATCTACTGTAGCTCTAACACTTTGGCAAAGTTGCAAAAAAAAATGACTTGAGTTTGGGTCATTCAAAGTGACCTGGTGACCTGACCTTAATAGTTAGGAGGTTCAAACTTGCACACCATGTATAAAATTGATGAGAGAATAGTCATGCCAAATTTCGCGGCGTATTCACGAAAAACCTCAGGGGGGGGGGCGGATAACCGCCCCCCCCCCGTCGGTGCGCGGGTTAAGAGGCCCAGAATTTTGCACAATTTTATATATTGTTGTTTTATTGCAACTGCATGCTCCCGAAGGATGTGGCCATCGACCATATGCGAGTTATCATGCTGAACATGATAGGTTTGGTTTCCATTTAGGAGCCACACAACCGTGTGTTTCAGTGTTCATTTCTACTCGGTGTGTAAAATAAGCAGCACCTGCTTTTCGGCTCATATTTGTGCATAAACAATATTGTTGATAAAATGAGACACATACATGAGAGTTCAGTCAGTTTTACGCAAACTGAGGTAAAAAGAATGGAATTTGGTTGTACCACCTGTCAGGCTAAATCGGAAATATCCATGCGGTGCATTGTTGGGGCCGCAGTGAGCGGGTGGCTGCCACCCACACTACCCCGCATTTACCAGCTTCTGGCAGAGCCGGCTTATTTATTTTGAAGCGAACCAGATCGACGCTCCTAGGCACTGGGCTATGCTATGTGCGGCATGCTCGCACCTTGCGCGGTGGAGCGAAAGCGGCAACATCTTGATGCAAGAGCTAATCTGAAACACGGTAAAGCTCTTACTTGCATACGCTGCAACTGGCATACCGTACCGCCGTTACACCGAGAACAAAGTCGAAAATGGAATGTCGTCTGCTTTTAAACGCTCATCTGAATGACATCGATCTAGAGGGAGCGTAGTCGCGATGCTAAGTGGTAATCTATGTCTGCGCTTAGTTGTGGCTGCCGGATCACTTCCTTTATTCTTTCAGTATCCATTAACGGGCATATTTGCCTCGCTTTGAGGCCTCAGCTGCCGGGCCAATCCTGCCCTACCGATAACTACATACCACAGGCCAGACCACCCTTGTGGCGCAGTTGGCAAGTGCGTTCACGTTTGGTGTGGGAGGTCCTTGGATCGGAGCTGACCTCTGACAGCATGTTCCTCGGCCTGCTCCTACCCAGGAGATGGCAGTAACTGGGGAGTGTTCGCTCGGTCGTGGGGATTACCGCTGTGCCAGCCAGCGCCCCCGGCAGCAGGTACACGGGCCTGATCAGCCTTTAAACAGATCCTTCGGTCCGGTGACATGTCCCGAGGGCACGGCCTCGCTTCATGTCCCGGAGCAGCCCTCTGACCTGCCGGGCCCGAGAAATCGGGATAGCCTCCAGTGTGCGCACCAGTGCGGTGCCACCTGGGGTGCGTGACAGGAAGCGTGCGGTCAAGGCTGTCCCGCGGAGCGGGTGCAAGAAACGATTCGTACCACTGCCGTGTATGTAGTGTATAGTCTGTCTTGAAAGTATCGCGACTCTGAGCGAAGGCGCCACCTGTTCCAGCCGCCGTTGGGCGGAAAAGTTTGAGAGCCGCTGGTAGCACTGACCGATTGACCGAAGCCTGGCACGCGGAGTCAGCCAGCGCGAGCGCGGCGGGGCGAGGGGTGTGGTTGCGGCCTGCGAAGGGATAGGGGAAGGTAGCAGTCGCCGTCCGGTAACTTGTGAGGGCAGCAGGCATGTGGCCAATGGAAGCCATCCTACTCGCAGAGATTTTGTTGAGATTTGCTCGGTTGCAAAGTTAAGAATTTAACCCGTCATCGGCACGACTGTCACAGGTTTTTGGTAAAATCCGGAAACCCGTGCCTGAAAACGAAAAAAAAATCATCAGTTACGCCCGCTAACAGAATGCATCCGTGGTTGCAGATGCACCCGCGAGCGGATTCAAATCGCAAAGACATCTCTCTCTAGCCAATTAGTCCCATGATTGAATGTTCGGTTAATGGAGGCGCGCGTCCCCGGCCGCACCGGGTCGGCGGGCGGGCGCTGCACTGCAGCCGCGGTGCGTGGCGCGGTGGCCGGCACACATGAATCACAGCTGAACACGGGCTATCGATCGCCCGGCGTCCTCGGGGGTCGTGCTGGCCCACCGACCGGGGGAGGCAGGCCACCGTTCACTCTGAGGGGGACCGGTGCCGACCGGGGGAGGCAGGCCTCCGTTCACTCTGGGAGAGCGGGGGACCGGGGGAG